AAAAAAAACCTGAGTCAAATAACTATTGATATTTATCTATTTTATAGTCAAACAAAGCAAAAAACAAACAAAAAAAAAGAGATTGACATTGAATGAATATCTTTGTTTTAGTCTTTTAGAATTCTCCAAATGATCCATTATTATTTGTTAAAAATCTATTGAAATCAAGTCTTGTTAAGAAAACACCTAAATGTGGTAAAGCATTATGTTTTTGAACCATTCCTAATATTCCAAATAACAGTCTTATTTCATCATTAAAATCTCGTCCAAATTGTCGTAAAATATTTTCATCAAAATTATTATTATTTTCTTGTTGTTTTGCTGTTAAACAAAATGAAACACATATTGATAAAATATTTCTTATTGATTGATATGCTGTGGCTAAAAGCATAAATGAATGTTGTTGAATATCAGATAAAAATACTTCATGTAAATATTTAATTTTTTGAAAATCAGTACTTGATAATATTGAACGTATTAATTGTTGATATTTATATTCTAATACATCAATTTGAATATAATATTGAAAATTATTTATAAAAAAAGACATTGCATTTCTTAAATGCAATATTAAAGAATTTTTTATGTTGATTTTTTAATATTAACCATAAATTATTTAATTCATTTTGAACATAACGTAAAATAATTAATAAATGAAATATATCATTATAACGTTGTTTGGAATTTTCACTAAAAAATGCTTTCATTGGATATTTAACATTATATTGAATTGATAAATTTGCCCAACCACATGACCAAAAATCAAACGAATTATTAGAATTATCTGATATACCTTGAACTCGAGATAATAAACGACGACATCCTGTACTTGTTTCCTATGATAGAAAAATCAAATGTCGGTAGTTATCAATCGAAATATTTTGATAGTAATCAAGTTTATTTTAAATAGTATAGATTTTCTTCATCCACCTCAAGTCAGCGGAAATGAATTAGATTGAAAATATTGAACCACTATCAAAAATAGACATAGAAAGTATAAGAACATGTACTATGTAGTAAGTTTATCGGAATGAATGTAATTGAAAAGAAAAATATTCCTGCCTTTTGATATGAAATGTTGTCTAATATCAGGCTCAGTAGCTCGATATTTTCACTACAACTATGACTAACTGTTGTTCTGGATAGGAGGTTAGTCTGATCAGATGAATAATTCGAGACCAACAACTGTTAGTGACTTGTTCAGAGTCATTCCATGACTAGTGATATCGAGATTTGCGTATAATTTCTATTGGATACATGCTAAACAACGTAGACACTCGACCATGATGACTTAGATGCAATTGAGACTGCAGAAGGATCTTCTTTGACGTTAAGATTAGTCGTTCTGAAAGTGTGAGAAATTTATTTTTCGATTATTTGTATTCTGTGACTACTACTTCTCAAGCAATCTTATAAGAATAAGGTTGTAATTGGTTCTTACTTTCAGAGTGAGCCGAACCTGATGCTATCCGACAGGCTCTAGTGTTCAGCTTTTCGTAGTTGCTAACTATCTTCTATGAAATGAAATATATGATTGCAGTCGTGAACCTTATTTAGATAAATACATCTAAGAATGATTTATAAAATATTAGTAGGTAAGTTTTGAAATTCTATAGATAATTTGATAGTATCACATTTTACAGTAGACCATATGAAAAAAAATTAAGTGAATAATTTGCTTGCAAAAAGATTGATGCAGAGAACTGATGAAACTCGAGAATGGAAACAGCTATGCAGCTGCGGTTTTCACCATTCAACAAATGGACACCGGGACACGTAAATCTATGGAAAAATTTCATTGGTGAGTAATGGGCTAACAGCATGAAAGTCCGCTAAACATTTTGAAGATAGGTTTTGAAACGTTTTTTTTTCGTTGGATTTTGAAACTTTAATTAAATCATTCGATAGAAAAAATTGTTCTCTTTCGATCTACACAAAGCCGAGCTCGATAAGCTTGCTCTGTTCGGTAGCTGTAAGCATTTTCCTGGAATCTCTGAAATCGATCATGCTGAATTCAGTGTTGATATTTGTTTTTTATTTCAAAGTACTCTGAGATCATTGTATCGAGATTTTCAATATATATGTTCTGTAAACCAAATAGCAGCAAAAACTAGATTTACAAAAACTTTTCTATAATGATCTCAGGTTACTTTGAAATAAAAAAACAAATATCACCACTGAATTCAGCATGGTCGATTTCGAGGATCTCTGGAAAATGCTTATAGCTACCGAATGGAGCAAAGTTATCGAGCTCAGCCTTGTGTAGGTCGAAAGAGAACAATATTTTCTATCGAATGGTTTAATTGAAGTTTCAAAATCCAACGAAAAATGCCTGCCAAAAGCTATCTTCAAAACGTCCATCGGACTTTCATGCTATTGGTGCATTACTCACCAATGAAATTTTGCCATAGATTTACGTGTCCCAGTGTCCACTTTTTAATGATGAAAACTGCAGCTCCATAGTTGCTTCCGTTTCCGAGTTATTCGACTCGCAAACATTCGCCTTCTATTTTGAAATGGATAGTAGTTTCTCTACTCTATTGAATGGTGAAATATTTTAAAAATATGTTATCATCAAAGACATAAAAACTTTATTCCTAGTATTTTGATTAAGCTAAATAGCCGGTTTTTTTTTGGTACGAACAGACTTTGAATACAAATACAAAGAATTCTGGACGACAGTGGCTACTATTCTGGAAGTGCTTTGATTCTTTATGATATTTTGAGTTTCAGTGTACGACAAACAAAAAGTCTGATTGCAAGCACTAATAATTGGTAAAAGTTTATTATGAAAAAAGATCTATCGTTCTTACTTGTGTAGAATTATCATTATGTGAAAAATTAAGTTTAAATTTAAATTTATCAACATTTGTTAATATAGTTTCTAAATGTAAATCATTTAAACATTGTTTAAAAATTTCATTTATATCATTTTCAATAGCATTTGTAGATTTTTTAATATTTAATAATAATTGATTTGTACGATTAACAAATAATGAAAAAAGTTCACCATGTTCAATTAAATAAAAACCTCGAATTTGTTCAAGTTCATTACATAAATGAAAACGATCAACAAATAAATTTCTTAATGTTAATGATAAATCAATTCTTGTATATTCAATAATACGTTCTAATTCAAATATATTAAAATCATCCGAAAGTGTTAATGCATATAATTGTTGTTGTACACGATGATTTTGTTCATCATAATCAATTGAATTTATTGATAAAAAATTTTTATCATTATCTTCATCATTTGTTTTTAATATAAGCCATGATTCACCAATAAATAAAATTTTATCAGCTAATTGAAGTGGAATATATGATGGAAGCATATCAGGTATTAATTGATATTGACTATAACCAGGTGTTATTGTAGGATTTTGTTGAGGCATCTAAATGAGAAAAAAAAACAGAGCTATTTATATATTCTGTAAGATAAGTTGGGACCCATAGTTTCCTAAAGATGAGTATTTGGTAGTGGAACTTGAATTGATAACTCAGAGATAATTTGTCCAACAATTCTAAAATTCTCTAGACAAGCTAATCTCATTGACATTTTGTAGTAGACAAAATTCAAAACTTTGATTTCACCGAAAAATTGAGATCATACAAGAATATCATAGTGAAACGTCCGCATCCTCTTAGGTCTTTTCTAGTTTATACATTTCCTACCTATGGGCAAAATTTCAGCTCAAAAGCTTTTCAACATCTGGAAAGAGGTGTCCTCGTGAGATAAAGTTAACAATGGTATAATCCTATGACATTGTTTTCTATATTTATAAGGGAAACGTTGTTAAAAATTGTTTTGAAGTAGTACAACTAACTTCAACGAGAAACTATAACATTTTTCCAGTTATGAAAAAAACCAATATATTTATTCCCTCAGCCAAGAATAAACGACATGTCATTTTTTCGATTACTTCTCCACACTAGTGTTATTTTATCTCATACCTATATACTACAGATACATGTCTTGTTATTCAATGTACTCTGGAAATTTCAATCATTGGCAAAACTGTAATATTGGTTTTTTTATAACTCGTGAAAGGTCACAGTTTTTTGTTGAAGTTAGTTGTACTACTTCAAAACAATTTTTGACAACATTTCCCGTCATGAATATGACCCATTTGATCAAGAGAAGACAGAGGCATGTATTGAAATTTTTCTTTGTTTTGTTACTTTCTGGATACCTTGTATATTTTTTCTCTCAACCATCGATTGTACAGTTCGACAGATCTCTCCTTTCCATAGTGTCTCGGAAATGATTCAACGAAAAATTATGAAATATTCAAGATGGATAGACATCAATGAGTAGAACAAAAGTTGCCATAGACTCAAAATTCTCAGATGCTTGCTTTAGAGAGATATGGAGTTGATAAAGGTAGGATTAAATCGAGATGTCTGTTTTATTTTTTCTTCAAATATATCGTTCTTAAAACTCAAGGAAAGTAAAATACTGGAACTACGTCAAAAACGTTTTTCTTTAATCGTTTAAAGGTCCGATCGAAAAACTTCGTTTTTTGTTTTTCTTCAACTAAAATGCTTGAAAACTGGCAGTGTTTAGTGATATATATGCTGAGTCCATAATCTATGCTCTAAGTACTTTTGAAATGAGAAATTTTGTATAGAAAAGAATAATTGTAGTACGAGTTTTTTATTAGAGGTTTTGAAAATTGAATTTAATAAAAAATATTATATAACAAAGAAGATCATTTATATGAGATACTTCATATTCTTAATATATTAAAATTTAAAATTTAATTTTACTTGTAAATTAAATTGTTTATCTCTATCTGGTGAATGTGATCGACTTGTTATTGTTGATGTCATACGTGATATACTTGGTGTTGTCATACCCATAGCTTCAATATTAATATTATTATTTAATCCAATAAAAAATTCATCATATTCATCATAAATTTGTCCACGTGTTAATATTGATGTTATTTGTTTAATAAATATTTTATGACATGAACATAATAATTTTTTCATTGTTGATGAAAGTATTATATTACCATCTAATGTATAACGACGTATAATATCAAGAATTTGACAACCACGATAACCATTTGTTTGAAGTTTATTTATTAATGAAACAAGTGAAGGAAATAAAAGATTATAATCAGTTAATGATATTAAAAGATGTGATAATGTTAATGATGTATCAATAAGACATTCATGTTCAAGTTGTTTTAAACAATTAAGATATGTTTGAAGAATTGAACGTAATTCAAAAGCAAAACTTAATATATATAAACCACCTTAGATTAGAAAATATAAGATATTAAAAATTAAAAGATTTCCTTTTTTTTACTTTTTTTATCTTTAAAAATATTTTGAATATATTCATCAAGTGTACGATAATGTTGACCAAGTTGTGTAAGTCGATCTAAAATTTCTAATTCACCTTGATGAACATATGGAATTGTTGGAAGACGCTAGAAAAAAAATTTAAATTAAAAAATAACCTTATTTTTTTTATTCACTTTTTTAAAATAAGGATCATCTTGTTTTAATGTTAATAAACCACTACATCCAGTTTGTAAAGCTATTAAAGCTTCATGTAAAGCCATTGCAAATGAAAAACAAAAACACAACACAAAATTTTCGAAAATGAATATTTTAAATCGTAAGTAGCGGTTTGATGTTCGGTATATGATCACATTAATAAATCTGTGAATGTCACTTACGACATCTATAAAAATACAATAATGTAAGTTTTATATTTAACGTAAGGTTTTATCCTCATTTAGATTTTAAAAATGATTTAGTCTAAATATTAAGTATCAAATTCTCATTTTAAAATATTATTTTTTTTTGCTTCCCTATCAAATAAAACAACCAATTAAATAGACAAATGGAATCATGAATAAAATTTCGTTGGCTTTTTTCACAATGAACGAATTCTTTAATTTTTAGATTCTATTTTTACAAACATGGTGAAAATCAAAGATTGATTAATATTCGTGATGAAAAATATATTACTGTTAAACTCTATTCAACAATTAACAATACTACCTGTACTTTACAAACATCGTACAATGAATATGAGGTATTTTTTAATATGAATAAAATAGTTATCAGTTGTTTTGTAAATCATCTTAAAAATTCCTAATTTGTTAATATTGGAGATGTCAGTTAATAGTGTTATTATACGCAAACGTTGATTAAGGTCACTGGAATATTCGATCATTGTTGTATTCAACAATAATTGTTCGAACAAATTCTTGGTCAACCAACAAATGAAATCTTTACTGGTTCTAACTGACTTCTTTGTATACTTGGTTTGATAGATAGTGATATGTAATTCTCTTGGAATGAATTTAGTTTAATAATGA